GAGTCCTGGTGGTACAGTGGTTACGCGCTAGGCTGCTAACTGAAAAGTTGGCGGTTTGCAACCACCAGCTGCTCCTCGGGAGAAAGGTGTGGCAGTCAGCTTCAGTGAAGATTATCATTGTTGTTGTGAGGTGCCATGGAGACAGTTCTGACTCATATTGACCCCGTGTACAACAGAAGGAAACACTCCCGGCCCTGTGCCGTCCTCACAATCCTTGCTGCGTTTGAGCCCACTGTTGCAGCCACTGTGTCAATCCATCTTGTTGAGAGTCTTCCTCTTTTTCGTTGACCCTCTACTTTCCCAAGCATGATGTCCTTCTCCAGGGACTGGTCCCTCCTGACAACACGTCCAAAGTATGTTCTTTTTCCTTTTCAGTAAAGATTACAGCCTTCGAAACCCTATGGGGAAGTTCTACCCGGTCCTATAGAGTCGCTATGAGTCGAAACCGACTCGACCGCAATGGGTTTGGTTTTTATTGTGAAGATTAAGTGAATTCATACCCGTAAAGTGCAGCCTCATCTTTGTATTACTGTAATTATTATTTTTTAATTTATCTCTTTTCTCACCGGGGGGGTGGGTCCCTGTCTTCCTCATCCCAGTATCTCTAGTGCTATCTCAAGTACCTAGAAGGCACTCCTCCCTGCTCGTTACTTTCCGTCACTGCCCATGTCCCGAATTGGTCCACCAGCCCCTGTCTGGGCTGCCACACCCATCTGCCCTTTCCTGGACCCAGGCCATAGCCTCCCAAGTGACCCTCCCCCCTGTGCACTTTCCATTCTGTCCCCCACCAGGCAGTGAGTGTGAACCAAGTGCACACAGAAATGAACCATGGACCCAGCTTACCTTTAAGCACCTACTTTATGCCAGGTTCTGCTCACGGGCTGAGGGAGAAGGCAGAATTGGTCCCCGCCCTCGCGGAACTTAGGTTTCAAAGGGGAAGGCAGATGACTGTAATCAGTGACGATAATCTCAAACGGGACAAACACTGCCAAGGAAATAAACACACGGCCAGCCAACCTGGAGACAGCTGGCGGTTGCTTTA